CATAAAAAAAGGTACAAAAGCTGTCACTGGGGCAGTGCTCTTTTAAAAGGTACACATTTGTAACTTGTTTACCCCTAAATGGTGCATATTAGTACCTTAAAGGTACAAAATAATATTTAAAATGTACGTGTTAGTACCTTCATGGTACATATCTGAACTTTTCAAAAAGGTACCACCCCAGTGTCATGTATATACCTGTATATGCAAGGCCAGTGAAATTTGTAACCACATCCACAGAATATAAACGTAGAACACAAAACAACAGCTTATTTGTGCCAGTTCACATTGACTATCAAACTCTGTTTTTATTCCTGTGCAAGATGAATTCAGGAAGCTAAACACCTCTGTTTCTTATTCTCAGGAGATCTCTGTGCTAGAATTGCACACACACACACACACACACACACATTTCGCTTCAAACATGGCTTATTTTCAATGTGCTCATTTAAAAAACACCCTGTACTAACTTCAAATATTCAGAGCTCTCACACTAGCCTGTCAAACGCTAGTGTTACCTTGGCACAAAGCATTCAGCCAGCATGTAGGATGTCTTGTCTACACATGATTAATTAGGCTGTTAATCATCTTTAAACATCCCCACTTTCACAAAAAGCTTATCTGCATTTCATAAACCTGCGCTGGTATCAGTGCGGTGTAGCCTAATATATGAGGCGTTTACCGGGGGACACAGATTAGCAAGTGGAGCATGAAACGATTGTTTTCATTACCAATGACAGCAAACAATTGCAAACCACCTGCAAAATGCAATCATTTCATACATCTCTATCTGTCAAATTGCCCTTTTTAAATGGAAACGATGTCAACATATTGCACAACATAATGAGTTTTTACTAAGATAAGCGTGCTATTCTGCTCTGCACTAATGACCTGATGGTTTATTGAATTAGCTTTGCCTGTGGAGACCGTGCAGCGAGGTTCATAAAAACAAATGATGATGCATCTTGCGAGTGGGTTTAGCAGTACCAGGAGACTTGAGCACGTAGGGCATGTCACTCTAGTTCAATATGTTAAACTGCTTTCACATGCTAATTATTCATGGCTAATCGTGGTGGTGAATGATTTGAATATGCAAAAGTTGTTTTGTTGCCGCTCCTGGCCCTTATAGCACCTCTCAAATCAGCTTGGTTAGTATGCATAGTGTTGTTTTAAAGTGGTGTTTATCCCAGATTTTCCACTTGGGCACGTTTCTGTAACAGAAAAATAGATGCATGACTTTTCTATTGGCCAGCTTATAGACCAGTATGATTTTCAGTGCTCGTCCAGGCTGGTTTATGCTGGTCTAGATGGTAGACCTTCGTACCATTCTGTTCATCATCAAACACTTGTGAGGCTGGTTGGTTAAGACAGTCTTAACTGGTAATACTTGTTATGCTGCTTTGTTATGGGGACACTACTAGCATTTTAGTATCACTGAGAGACTTATAGCTTTTACTCATATTCTCACATAGTTTTTATATTTTCGTTTTTATTTTACGTTTAGTCATTTTGTCGTTGTTGTGTTTACCATTTTATTAGTTTTTGTTATATATTTTTTAATAGTTTGTCTATATTGTTTTTATTTATTTATTTAAATTTTAGCTTTATTTGATTTAGTACATCAAGTTAAACTAAATGAAATTGAGAAATCAGTTTACATTTAATTTATTTCAAGTAACAAAAATGCAGGACGATAAGGGCATTTATTAATAGTAAAAAATAAACAAAACTACAACAAAAACTACCCCGAGGGGGAAGAACAGGCAGGCAGGGGATCAGGGGGAGCTGGAGACCACCACGGTGGCACTGCAGACCACCACGGCAGTGCAGGCAGAGCTCCTGACCACCATGGCTGAGCAGATCCATGGGCCGGAGTAGACTCTGGAGAGGACTCTGAAGGCTCCTGGACTGGAGCAGGTTCTTGAGCGGATTCTGAGAGCTGCTGGGCTGGAGCAGGCTCTGGAGCGGACTCTGAGGGCTCCTGGACTGGAGCAGGTTCTTGAGCGGATTCTGAGAGCTGCTGGGCTGGAGCAGGCTCTGGAGCGGACTCTGAGGGCTCCTGGACTGGAGCAGGTTCTTGAGCGGATTCTGAGAGCTGCTGGGCTGGAGCAGGCTCTGGAGCGGACTCTGAGGGCTCCTGGACTGGAGCAGGTTCTTGAGCGGATTCTGAGAGCTGCTGGGCTGGAGCAGGCTCTGGAGCGGACTCTGAGGGCTCCTGGACTGGAGTGGAATTTTGGAGTGGACTCAGAGAGATCCCGGACGGGAGCGGACTCTGGAGCGGACTCTGAGGGCTCCCGAACTGGAGCGGACTCTAAGGGGTCCCAGACTGGAGTGGGCTCTGGAGCGGACTCTGAGGGCTCCCGGACTGGAGCAGACTCTGGCAGGGCAAGACACATGGGTGGAGCCGGCATCAAGGGAAGAGCCGGCAGGGCAAGAAGCTTGGGTGGCTCTGGGATGGCCTCTAGGCCTTGAATGATGGAAGAAGCCTTCTTCCTCCTCCTCCATATCCGAGAGTGTGGCACTGCAGCTTCGTCGGCCGCCTCCGGGGGCACTGCAGCCTCTTCGGCCACCACCGGGGGTGCTGCAGCTTCGTCGGCCGCCTCTGGGGGCGCTGCAGCCTCTTCGGCCGCCACTGCGGGCTCTGCAGCCTTATCAGGCAACGCTGGGGGCGCTGCAGCCTCATCGGCCCCCACTGGAGGCACTGCAGCCTCTTCGGCCGCCTCTAGGGGCCGCAAAGCGGACCCTTTCTTC